TTCCGAGTCGTTGATATGAGATGAGCGGCGGTAATGCCGACTTAATGCGATCAAACGAGTCCACCACCGCTGTTTGCAACGTGGACGGGAGCGAGGCCGCCGCGGCCAGCGGTGATTACCGGTAGTAGGTCCGACCGAGAGAGAAAGAGAGAGAGAGAAAAAGAGAGATGAGTACGTGTGTACGCGATCGCGTACTTAGCGCGGATCGGCGAGCGACCGGCCGGCCGGCCGGCCGCGGGTCCGGTGCACCGGCCAACGGTGCCTCCGATCACGTAATCTGACTAATCGTTTCCGGTTTCGCCGGCGCGAACTCGCTTCCAGTATTATGGCCACGCGAAGTAATGTTAGACCATCTCCGCCCGTTCGCCGAGCAGGCGCTGATGATACGCCTCACTCGCCATACGTAAAGGCGAATCTGCACGGTTCACTTGTGGCGATCATCCCGGAAAGATCGACCGACGGGAGAGAGGAAAAAAGAGGAAAAAAATTTTATCCACAAAAAATATCTAGAAAAAATTCATCCATGAATAAGGGGAAAAAAATTATAACGGTATACCTAAGATTCGTCTTACAATTACAGGACTTTGTCGAAAGTAGGATATGCAGTCTCTTCATTCGAAGGAACCGTACAAGCTTCTTCGCACAGAATCACATACAACTACATTTATAATTTATGTAGATTAATGATCATATAGAATAATTTATAATTAATTATAATTACAAAATTCTTGTCACAATTTGTTTTATAAAAAATTTCTCATTATTTTGTAAATTTATGAATTTCATTTTTGAATGGAAGGAAGTTAACGTATCTCCCGTTTTTTAATAAGTCACGAATATTTATACTGAGATTGTATCAATTAAATTCCAATGGACAAAAATTCCATTTTCCCGTTGTATTCGCTTCCTTTCGGATACTTCTTCGCGAGAAGTGAATTACATAAATTCGTCTTAACCCGCTCGCGGCGGAGGAACAGGATGGAATCGCGCGGATCCATCCTGAAAAACCCACGGCGTAGGTTAAACGGCGTGTTTAACCCCGTCTCGCGAGGGGGTCTCTCCACGGACGTGTACGTAGCGGACGTAACACCACCGCGAAAACGATCGCCCGCGGTGGTTCGGCACATTCGGAGAACGCGAAGGATTTTACACGTCGATGAGAAGTTATTGCGCTCATCTAACGCGAGGACGCGGCGAAGTGCAAAAGAAAACGGGGGCCGGTTATTGATGACCAGCGTCCGGGTAATGGATGAACAACGGTTGCGGGACGTAAGCGTAACACGTTCTGACGCGCGGATGTTCAACGGATTGCGAGTACTTAAGAAAAATCTCGTAAAATTTCGTAATTGTATACAGAATGGCGTTATCTCTGGATTGATATTAATTTTTTTTTCTATTATTACAAACGTATTTTCTGAGATACTTGCTATCGATTGAAAATTTTCAGTGAGAGTAAAGATATTTTTATTTGCATCTTTTGAACATAATATATAATTAAAAAAATAAAAACAGTCTTGGAACTATCTCTTTCTATGAATTCTTCGACTAGTTCTGACGATAAGATAAATTCTCTTTAGAAAAATATTATTTGGAGGTGCAAATTTCTCTCTCTTTCTCTCTCTTTCTCTTGTTCCAATTGTTAATTTCACTAAATTCTTCACCGACATTCTAATAAAGTTGACATGAAATTAACTATAAAGAAGATTTTGACGAAATAATTTTTCGTCCAAAAGTTTATAATTTAAGAATTACCGATCGAATTTGAATCTTAGAATCATGGAATTAGTAATATTTTCAAAATATATATCCCGTATAATTACCGAAAGAAGAGCCAGCGTTGAGAAGTTCTAATGCTTTTCGCTTGGCTAGCGCTCAATTCCTGATATTACGAGATCGCAAGGTCACGCTGCGCTACAGGTAATAAGGGAAATATACAGAGTTGCGATTCTTTCCGGCAAACCGGTCACGAGGATCCCCGAGGGATATACACACTGCGCATTGTGTTGCAATGTCAGAATGGCGCATGGAGAGCTCGCGCGCGCGCGCCCGCGTGTGCATTCCTTCGAAAGCGAACAAAGTGCAGCGGTTAGGCGCTAACAATACTCGTATAGGTATGCCAAGCCATTCTATTAGCCATCTTCGGTTTCGCGGCGAAACGCAACAGGCGAAGTATACTAACGCCCGGCGGCCACGAGTCAACCGCGGATTTCTAACAAACGCGTTTGCGTTGAGTGTATACTAAGCTCATCTTAATACTCATCTTAAATCGGAGATATATTCGTGGTGAGAGTTCGTTACACGAGTAATATTGATATAAAAAAGTCTTTTGCAGCATCGATGTACAGGTATGCACACGTGTTAAAGATACAACGATAAGATTATCGTAAATTAAATAAATAATAAAATGCGTGTTTAATGCTATTTAATTATTATTGATAAAATCGATATCACGTGCGATAATCTAATGTAAATTGTGCAACATAAATTGTCACAAATAACATTAATAAATAAAATGTGCATATACGCATGTACATACTAATGTATAATAAACTGAATAAAAATCAAAACATATCACTGACAGAGATATCTATACGCTTAAACTTTTTTATGATAAAAAACTGTAAAAATATTATTCATTTCATAAGGCGCATATACGTATAATTGTTGGAAATTCGATTTCACTCTCTTAGCATTACTTCAAACTTATTTCTCCAATAAAAAAAACCGGGACTTCTTGTTCGCGTTTCATATATGCTAATTACAACTGAATAAGGAACTGTACGTCTCACTCGTATAATTGCAGTACGCGGAGAATATGAAATCTCTCACAATGACACGCTATGGATTCCTCGAAAGGTAATGTGAAAAGCAAAAAGAAAAGGTGCACCAGATTAGTCAGTAGACACTAGACAGTGTCGATCGGCCGGCTTGTCCGGAAGAAATCGAGAGTGGCTCCGAGACGAGAGAGAGAGAGAGAGAGAGAGAGAGAAAGAGAGAAAGAACCGAGACAAGGTCGTAATCCCGCGATTGGAAAGGAGAGAAAGCATTTAGCTCTCGATCCGGTCCGACTTCTCGAAAGTATCTCGGGTGTTACGTAACCGCGTTCGATCATCTTGAGGAGTCATCGAGCGTGAACAATTGATTATATTTTCATTCTTTTCGGTTCGCCTTTTTCTTATGGATCGCTAAAGCGGACGAAGACCACGGACATATCGTGTTCACGATGAAAAGCTCAGATACTTCTCGCGTCCCGACGTGACACGTGATTCGGTACTTATCAGATTCGACAAGAGAGTAAGAGAGAAAGGCAGGAAAGAGAGAGAGAGAGAGAGAGAGAGAGAGAGAGAGAGAGAGAGAGGGAACCACGATGGTCGGTCCAGACGACTCACTCTCTCGCGCGCGGACGCAAGCGTGGGACGCGAAGGTCGACGACCCGACACCGCGAGGATCCCGTCAAGGCCGCGCCGAGCGGTCGAGCGTCACGAATTTCGCACGATTATGTGAACGTCGGGGCTCGTTCCGAGTCCGGGGTGCTTAAAGTATCGATACTCCACGCTTACGCTCGACCACGGGATAAGGTAAAAATTTGTGTACTAATTCTGTAATAGCTATGAGATATCGGGTGATAATTCTATAATAATAATAATAATGTAAACTTTATTTCTTTATTTCTTTAAACTTTATATCTAGATATTAGACATAAAGTCAGATCCTAATTTTTACTTAAATTATCTTACATCAGACTGAATATAGTACGGATAGAAATTGAATGTGAGAAATATAGGCGACGAATATTTGAAAAGTTTACTTTATGACACATCGATATTAGAAATTGAAAGCTGCCATATCGACATTGAAATAAAACTTCAGAAAGTCAGTCAGTTTCGACGTTTACCGACGTAAATCTCTGATCAAAAGGATCTGGGACGTTCTATGTGTCGACTAGCGGAGTGTCGCGATTGATAAATGATCGAGTCGATTCAAACGCAAATTACTGTTGTACGTTCTGCCAGACGAGCCAAGCGTCTCGGACGTGTCGGATTACGAAGGTCAAGAGCGATGATCGAATACTACCTATTTCGTTCAAGGATTGTTCGTTGAATAGAAATGCGAGATACATGCTGAAACCGCAAAACGTCAATCTAGTCATTGCTGTTGCTTTATACGGAAATCTCGATATTACATGTTCGTTTTTTAATGCCTATAACATTATTCGTAAAAATAAAATTCTAAAAAAAAGATCGCTTGAAGAATTATTTCAAACATTATTTTTAAAGTTCCTTTGCGAAATTATTGCTATCGTGCATACCATACATGTTTTATATATTGATATATTAATGTCACCATTACCATAATTAATATTTCGTAATCAAATATTATGGGAACAAGCTTATATGTATATAAATTTTTATTGAACTCTATTTCTTATTCTTGGTCGTATTCAATGATTTTATCGATTCAGGTATTAATTGCACGAGAAAGTGCAATAAAACGTAAATGTTAAATAGTCGGAAGTCGTATGGAAAGTCTACTGTCGGCATTGTCGCACGCAACGTAAGAGATAGCTTTAGTCATTCAAATAACTTCACCTTAGAAATGTATCGATAGAAATCGATAACGACAAACCGGTTACCGATCCGATCGGAAGTTTATTTGTTTTGCATTACATACCGCATTGCAATTTGTTTTCATCTAAATATAATCACAACTCGTAACTTACGATTTGGAATTTTCGTTACGCACGTGTGCACGTTGACGTACATTTTGTCACATAAAATTTACAATATCTAACGTCAAAATCTAAAATTATAATGTCGTTATGCGAAAGAGATAGATAAAAAATTAACGTGAGAAGTTATCGTTATGAATTTTCATAATTATATGAAAAAATCCACTGTTCAAATTCGATGCGACAACACAAAAATTACACGCGCAATTTAGTTGCTTATCAAAATATTAAATAATGTTTTATCTACATATGTATATGTGCAGTGACTTACCGATGCACCTCACTGCATCTGCGTCCATATCATCGCTTCTCTCTCCTTGACAGATAAAGAGATCAGAAATTTCCGAGAATATATCCATGTGTGGATGAATTCAGCAATCCAGGATGTATCCTGCAAAATTAAAGGTGAATTTTTCATTAGGCACGGTGTCTATAATCTCGATATTATTAGAAGGCATCAAAGGCCAAAAAATTTAGAGATCCCAATACCGAAATCAGTGTTTTCCTTGAACGGTTTACGCTTACGTGATATCAGAAACATTTCTTTCGTTGTATTACTCAAAATTGATAATATTTTTATGATTAATATTACAGATTATTCCAACATTGTGATATTGCGATTTGATATATCGAACATTGCCCGAATTCTTTAATTGATTTTCGATACCTTTATCTAATTTAAGAATTATTAGTAAATAATTATTTTTATGACAAAAAAATTTACGACAATTTTTGTGTACAGTATGTGAATTTTCCTTGTTCAAATATCAAATTCAAACATCAAGTAATCTTAATGAAAGTGTTCGATATTTCTCATTTCTGATTTATTTTTTTACATGAAATATTCCTTGAAACGTGAAACTCAAATATACTTTAAATATAAATATAAATATGTCTTTTTACAATAATCCTAGCGTTAACTATCACGATTTCGTGATTCTAATTAATGGAGCAAATTATATTGACTAATTAATGCAGCGGAAAATGACCGTGTATTTTGTGCAATTATAATTAATCGCTGTTTAATTATAATCAATTTGTCGAAAACCTATTGTATGAATGATATACTACGATCGCACGGAGTTTATTCGATGGAACAGTCGTACTTTTGCACTCTTACCAACGCGATATAACACGGCAAAGATTGACAATTAATTTTTTTTCACAGACGATCGTTTGAAGAAATTGTATAAAAAACATTTTTATGTTATTTTACGTAATTATTATCGCGTTCGAATATATTTTAGATATTTGATATATAGTATACAATATTTCTCAATTCAATAAAAAAAATTTTACAATGTACGAGTGAAATTTTTTTAACATTCAAATATCGCGGAATAAGTGTATAAATATTATCTCTCGTTGTTCTCATCGGCGTTTCTACCGGATATTAATATTGCAAGGATTATGTTCAGTGACGGATTCTCCACAAATGTAACAGACGCGCACCACCACTGTACAGCCGAAATGTAAAAATCCATTATTGTCCACTGATTACAAACACTCGCGATATAAGAATTTTCGTATTCACTCGCGTCTCGTACGAATCCGTGCAACAGGTTTTCGTACCGCGACAATACATTCGCGTTCCGTGCATCTAAATGTTCCAACAAGTGGTTTTCCGACCGTACGACGCGATCTACTATAATTCACAACTTACGTGAGACACTTTTCGATCCGAGTCGATTGTCCAAAGAAATAGCATCGTGACCGATAATAATCCGTCCGTGTGAGACAGTCCTCCCGTTTCGTCATCCGAAAAAAGTAGCAACAAACGTCTTCCAGGAAAACGCTGGCCGATGCTGGCCGTATCGCGACAATACATTCGCGTTCCGTGCACCCAACGCCTCCAACAAGTGATTTCCACACTTCCGACAACACGACGCGACACTACTATAATTCACATCTTACGCGAGACACTTCTCGACACTCCTCGATCGTGTAAATAAGAGTATTTCCAACGGGACGGCACGGAGCGCGGTGAATGCAATCGCAAGCGCGAGACTCGCGTCTAACTTCACGTTGGACGCGTCGGCGTCGCCTAGATCACGAGCGAAAAATGGCGGTGCTCCAATGTATGTACGCGCTCATGAAAAGTTGCCGAACATCGGCAAATCGATCGCGGGGGACGCATCTCGACTCTTATCATTCCGAAACGAAGCAACAGCGTCGCGCGCTTGCCGTGATGAAATGACGATTGACCGCATTTTTTTTCGAAATGAGAGAGCGTCAGACGGCCATTTCGAGAAACAGCGAGCGTTTCGATGCTCGCGAACACCGATCGAGGGGCTCTCAATCGTTTCCGTGTCCACCTCAACCTTGTTCAACCTTGAAGACGAACGTAATAGCGTTACATCATCACTGCGCACACTCGCGGCAGTCGCGGCCGAATACGCGTACGATTGATGACTCAATCGAAATTAAGACGAAGGACACGCGTCACACCCGTAACGCGCGATGTCCTACCGACGACTATCCCCACTCCGCCCGTCCACCCACCGCGAAGGCCGCGGAGTCCGCGCGGAGTACTTGCCGAAATTCTACGGACGCATAGCGTAAACACGCGATTGGCCAAACAACGGAGCGGTCAATGCCGTCATTGGAGGCTCGGGTCGAGTTCCGAGAAAAGTTTTTTTCGCGACCGTACGTGGTCTCCGAAGGTAAACAACGGGGACACGGAAACGACGCGGCGGAAGAAAACAATATAAAAAATTCTGTGTATTGAACTTAGCGAGGTTAAATATGTTTTCGAATCTATTTACAGATTCGATCATACATGACCATTGAGATATTGGTGGATGAGACGATGTAGATACGAAATCCACGAAGTGTTTACGAAAGTTTACTCTCGTGGAAAACGTAATTAATTTGTTAATCTTTAGACGATCTAAACGATAATTCGTGTCAGTATTTAAGATAAAATTTTATTTTTAATTCTATTTATGTACCATTGTGTAATACAAAAAGCGTTTGAGGCATCAGAGAATATAATATATATTGATATACACATATAATATATATATATATATATATATATATATGTATATATTAATATACATTATACATATATATTAATATGCACATATATTTATGTCAAGAAAATATAATTTTAAATAGAATTCCTAAAACCAGATCATCAATGCAAATGATAGGTCCAAAAGTAAGCTTTAAATACAAAACGAACGTAACAAAATTAATCTGTATTAATTCCTGGTCAAAAGTAAATTAAAGTATCTAAATTAAAAAATATTTATGTAATCATATGACATATAATTCGTCGTCATTACATCATCGATTATTTGATATATTTAATATATTATCAATTGAAAATTAATATCTTAGAGTTAATAAATGCTAAAAATAGAAAATAGAAAAGATTACGCGTTTGTAATCAATTAATTCGATTAAATCAAACGATAAATATTTGATAAATTTAAATCAATGAAAAATAAAAAATATCTATAAATTACAGGTAAGAGAACTATTTACTTCATAAGAGAACTTTTTCCAAACAAAGATCCAAAAATCTCACTTCATGATTATCGAAATTCTATGCGGTGATCATATGAAAACTGTCGTAGCGTTTTATTCTCCAAAATCATGCCAATTTAAGAAAAATAACACGTAAATTAGACCGGTTTGAATATCTACGTGAAATCTCACGAATGTCTTTTTCTGAAACTTCTCCTTTTCCGGAAAGTCTCCGATACCGTGACATCCGTTTGGCGGACAATGCATTCAGAATCGCATAAAGCTTGACGTGCTCCCGCGAGAAAGAGAAACCCGGGATCTTCCTTTTCTTTCCTCGCTCTCTCTTTTCTTTTCTCTGTGCGCGTTCTCCTTTCATTCGCCGTACTCGTAGTCTACCGGCGAGGTGGATAGGTTAACTAGGAAGCCGCGGGTATACGCGCGCGCGCACGCGAATATGTAATTACGTTTACATGCGTGCCCGATGCGTTGCGCAATCGCGTGTGTGTGCTGCGTCGAACCGGCATGTCACGCGTCGTGGCCTACGCCTACGTACAATACGTAAGCGCAATATGCGCAATCCGCGACCCCACGAGGACGTACCGCGGCGTGGTACGTATAGAAATTCGCGGAGGGAAAGTTCGCGATCTTGTTTTTCCCGACGCAATTACGAGCGCTTACGCGCTACGCGCTGGATCCTTGGCGTAACGAGTGATTTTGCGACGCTCCGTTACGATCCTCAGGATGCTTTTCGTGTCTGTATCGGGATATACGCTCGAAAATAATGAAATTCAGGGGGGAATTAAAATGATTCTTCTGCTTTACGTTTTTACCTCTGTTTTTCTTTCTTGTTTGATTTTTTTGTACGGTTTGGGAAAGAAGGAAGCGTTCTTACAACACACCGTTCGAATTCTCGTATGCATCGGTATAGAACTCGATGGAAAGTGCTTCGCGGAAGCTTCCCTCGCGGTATAATGCACTTATCAGATTCGCGGTAGCACATCGTGGATAATATACTGCCCTGAGAACTCGGCGAGGAAAGTATTATCCGCGTATATACATATCTGTAGCATCAATAGAAATTTACATATTGAAGTAATAAAAAGTGATAAAATATGTTAAGATTGTATAAGAATTATTAGAATAATGCGCATAATTTACAGAGAGAGAAGATTTGATTGTTCTGAAATTTCATCAAAATTAACCTTATAACGATGCATTCGAAGTGCATCGTTACAACTGGATATTTTAATTAACAAGGAAAATCCGTGTGAGATTCATTAAATAATACCCTATTTGTTGTCACGTGCTTTGTGTTCGTTATCCGTTATATCACAGGAGTATGAGTTTGTAAAGTTTTTCGTGACATGAAAATAATTTTTATTTCCTAATTTTGGAAGAAAGGTGAGAACACTGAAAATTAATCAAAGAATTCGGGCGGTGTTTGATATCGTAAACGACGTAAGCATATTAAGATACAAAAATATTAAATGTTAAAAAATCCTCAATAATCTATTAATTACAAAAATTATTACCAAATTTAAATAATCCATAAGAGTTGTTCCTAATTTGAGGTAAGTATAAATTATACAAGAAAATATATACGGGAATTAAGAAGCTCTGCAAGCGTAATCGCAAGACATGCATCGATAACGAAGAAGTCACGCTATAAAATTCACTATTTCGCGCTTACGCAATCGGGAAGTAATCGGAAATCGAGATGGCGAAACGATGATAGAGAGATACTTGGGAATTATTTTCCCGACGCGTTCAATCACTGCCCGCAACGGGTGGCCGCGCGTACCAGATCAACCGTTATTGACAGAGACAAACGACTTAGGAGAAAACGAAGATCAAAGTTGGACGCGTACACGGACACGTTGTCACTCGTCAAGAAGAAAAGCACCACGTGGCATTCCGTCGTCGTGTTTGCGAGAAAGTCGCGACAGTAGTGCGATCGTTTCTCGAGCTGGCGGTGCAAGGACACTTTCGATCATATCGGAGATCAACAGGCAAATTTCGACTCGATGTTGCGGTATGAACGAAACAGTGCATATTGACGCAAGACCTGAAGAGAACGCGGAATATTATTGGACGATGGCCGATCGTGTTCGGTCGAATCCGAGGAGAAAGAAATTTTAACAGAGGTCGAAAGGAATCCGTGGTTCGAGGGAAAGCTGAAAGCGAAGAGGAGTGAGTCCACAGAAACTCGGCATGACGCTTTCAAAGAGCGCAAATATCGTACAGGGTATAATTGAAAAGTCGTCCATGCCGATCGAAAGTGGTTACCTGCCAATCAAACGCGCCGTTTATCATCGATTTGCGACACGTCGAGGATGAAATTTCCTGTGCAAACAACGGAAAAGGAGAAAACCGGGATAACCGTCGATCATCGCGGGACCGTCAATCCTGCGCGATTGCGTCCGGTGTGCAGAATTCGCGAACTCGAGAATCCTTTCTCGTCGGCTGGACAGTTATTCGGCTCGATCCCGTGATGATAACGATCGCGTGCGAACGCGCACGCTTCCCGCGATAAATTGTTAACAGCTGCACTCCTCGATCGGATGCAGATCAGGAAAAGGCGTAGGCGGCGCAGCAAGTCGGGAAAACGCAAAATCTCAAGGCGTGTACCAGGACGAGTATCATTACTTTCTGATGTCGCTTCATCAACAGCTGAACGAAATGCCGTTAGCGAGGAAAATGAAAGTGAAAGCGAGGATACGAACGATATTTTATGAAGAACTGCGCGCGAAGAATTTGCGATTCGCGGCATGAGAACAATTCTGCGTTAGACGATTCTGGAAGCAGGGAAGAGAAAGCGTTGAATTATTATTAAAGTATACAATATAATAAATATTTTCACATAAATTTTCCGATATTTAACTCGCGTATCTCATACACACACACGCGTGTCCAATTAACTAACTCTTAAAGCCTATATAGAGTTTTTAGTTTTTATATGATCTAAAGATTATCACGCGATAGAAAATTTCTATATATTCATGTAATATACTTTCACATCTCTGTCTTAGTAAATTAACAGCGTGTGTATATATTCATAACGTGGAATATCGCGGTACAGGGACACGCAACACATGCGTGCACGTAACGAGCCGTGTACGCGCATCAGGCGCATTCAGGGGAGAAAAAAAAGCGGAGTGGGAGAGGGCTGTTCGTACGTCGCGCAAAAAAAAAATTCACGCAGGGCGGTAATTTGCCCGTTGATCGTTATTTATTGTGATCCTCGTGCTACGCGGGCGGACGGCCGGACATTTGCATGCGAAATTGGCGATGGCATAAGGGCATGAATCTCCTCACGCATACGGCCGGACGCGCGGGCAGGACGCGCGGGGCAGAAAATGGGGCCTGCCTTACGCAATTGTACGTTGAACGGTGGTCAGGGATCGGCCGTCTCTCCGTGTTGGCACGTTGACACGTATCATTTATACCTCATCATGTCCGCGGAAGATCGGCCGCGCGAGCAAGCGAGCGAGCAGCTACAGCGGAGAAAAAAACGCAGGCGTGCCCCGCCTTGCTCTCCCCGTCCCTCCACTCCCTGCCATCCGCCGTTTTGCACGTCACTCGCGGCCAGGAACGCGGCAAATTGAACGTGTCAGTCGCGATGGAATATAGATCGGGGGCCCGTCCGCGTGCCCGCCGTCGAGAGCGAAATTCCACGCCGGCCAATTCCGCGAGAATCTCGCGTACGCGGTAGAAAATCAATTCGAGTTCTATAAACAGTACAATGATGAAATTTATTCGCCTAATACTTAGTATTCGGTCTAAGCACTTGTTTTTTGTACAGTATACAAAATAAATTTTAATATATTAATGAATTATTTAATTAGAGCCAACAATTAAAATATGTGTATTAAAGTTTAAAAAGAGCAAATATATATATATATATAATATTTTCTTATAAAAAATATGTATTTATGTATAGAAATGTGGATAAAAAGCTGTTTTTTTTATTAAAAAAAAACATTAAGCGAGAATTTATTATATATCTTGCTAAGGAAATAAAAATAAATTTTTCGTAGTATAAAATATCTTTAGTATAATTTTTTCGCTGCGACGATGAAGTCATAAGATCACTTTTTTGCGAGCTGCAAAATAAAATCCGCTCGCGACGCTTGGCAACCGGATTATGATCTCGGCGGAATTGCCGAGGCAAAGAACGAATAACGGTCGCAGCGACCGTGGTCTATCATTACTTAATCAGCGATCTGCTCCAGTTTTATACCAACATTGCAACTGGCTTAACGTCGGCAAATCGAACACGGTAGCGTGAACAAGAATTCTCAATCGCAGACGGATAATTTCATGCACCGAGTAGCGCGGTAGCCGAGTAACTCCGCGAGTCCCGGCGGGTCTAAACGAATTGTTCGTTGAACGTTGTAAATCAACAAGCACATGCCGGGTTATTACTCGCTCGTTGAGAAGGTAGAAACTAACGGCCGTGACGTAATGCCGGCAAACGATCGGGACGAGCGAAATGTTAATTGCGCGACAATATCCCGCGTCGAGTCTATCGGGCTCGCTTGTCACGACGATCGTGTCGTAGAACCTTTACAGGACCTTTGTCTCTTACGAAAATTAATGATCGCTCGCAGGACCGGATGCTGACTTTTTAGAATTGACGTTGATATTTCTTACGGCGGATCCCCTAGCGGGATATCTAATTAGCAGGATTGTATTAAAAGGAATATGTCAAATCACTTTTCCGAATCGCGCAATATTCGAGAATAAGCGAAGTTGGCTCCAATTAAATAATTTACAATGACTATTGAGAACTTGATAAAATTTACAAAAAAATTTTTCCATAAAAAGCTTTTTGAGATAAATCGCGCATTTTGAGATAAAATTTCATTATTATGTACAGAAAGAACAGTTTTGCTGAATTATTTAAAAATTTAGCTAGATACAAATCTGACAAAAAAATTTTGTTGGATCATATACATGGATATACAAATCTGTTTCTGATTACTCAGTATACTTATATGCCAGACAGCCAGAAATTGGTACACACACACGCGGGACCAGAGGGCAGCGATGACGCAATGTGAAAGTCTCGCCAATGGAATTCACTCTTACTTCGACTTCGCCCTGACCTCCGTTGTAATGAGAGCGATCTGAGTAATCTGGCACGCGGCACACACGTATTTGGCAATGGGTGCGTAACAGCGCTTTAATGACCACGACAAATGCGTTCCGCGTCTTTCCTCTCGAGAGATTAGCATACGAAACACGATTAATCGCGCCCACTTTTTAAATATTCAGATTAGACGATCCGGCGTTATGTTCTGTTGAAAAGATTGATCGATTGATAGCATCGCTATGATTACATCGTCGATTTTTTGTAAACCAAATTTTGAGTCGAGCAAAATAAATAGAAGTTATGAATAATTAATCAAAGCAAGCCACGAAATGTATTTAACGTACATGATTAATTGCCTTGCCAAATATTACCGAGTATCGATGTCTCATTTATAGCCGTAGTACTTTAATATTTTCGTTGCTACACGTGGGTGTGTTTGATTGATTTCCTTCTACGTACCATCCTTGAATTTTTTACTAACTGACGGAAATTGGTTATCGCGTAAGCCAACGATGTGTAGCTATCCTTATGAGAAGAATTTTTTCCATCCATCTAGTTGATATTATCTCAGACCGCAAAGGATTAAACTTCGATCAAGATTACATCCAGCGAAGTCTTGATCGATTCAACAGCCGGACTTGTGTATCCCGATGCCGTGACGTGTTTGAGTAACGGTTCGTACCGAACCATGAAGTTTCCGAGGCTGGCCGTTCGTACGGTATCTCATAAATAACTCCGAACTGCGCGATGGAGTTTTTCGTGTCTTCTCATTTAACGAGTGACATGTGTATGCGCGCGTACGCGCGCGCGCTTTGCCCTTTTTCTTATATATATATTGATTGTATCGTTATATACGTTTAATTACATTTGCAATGTGAAGTGTATGTTTACGATGCTTGCTGATAATTGAAGCGATTGGAATAAACAAAATGGGAAAGAGAAAGAAAGAAGGAGGACGAGAAATCGATTTGTTCAAAGGAAAGTAGAGAGGAAGCGAGAGCAACGCCGACAGTAATGTCAATAAGATCGTAATTTGCTCCAGTTTTGAGCTGATTAAGTCCATCGCGTATTACCATACCGGACATCCTGTGTACGTTGGTTGTAACGTTATATATACACGCTTAATTACATTCACAGTGTGATGTTTACGTTTGCGATGCTTGCTGATAATTGAAGCGATTGGAATAAACGAAATGAAAGGAGAGGAGGAAGGAGGACGAGAAATCGATTTGTTCAGAAGAAAGTAGAGAGGAAGAGGAGCATTACGAGAGGGCGCCGACAGTAATGTCAATAAGATCGTAATTTGCCCTGGTTTTCAGCTGATTAGTAAGTCGAACGTGATATTATACTATATCGGTTACCGAACCTGACGCCGAGTAGTAGGTGTTCCAGGGAGGCGGGATTTGTAACAAGTGAAATCGAGGGCGAGATTGATCTCAAGCCAAGGCGAGCACGAGCTCACCGGTGAATGAATCGCCTTGATAAACGTTATAACAGTTACGTCCGTAATCGATTTCTCTAACGTAGACGTGGGCGATACGGCGCGTTCCGCGAGGGAAAATCTCCCGATCGATTTGCACCTCGCGGAAGTCGCCGAGATAGCAGAGCCGAGATTCGCAAAGCATCCCGCGTATTTCCGCGTGTGCGTTCCATCGTTTCTATTACGCGGCGAAATTACGGATGCGTATAGGGACTATAGAAATCGTGCGTAATGACAAGTGCATCGTGACGATCGCGTAAGCGATTTGACAGTCACCGCAGCTGTATATAGTTATCGAGAGTGATTTTATAATAGTCCATGCTGTATACAATCAGCATCGCAACACCGATAGAAATGGCTGCGCCATTAAACGCTGTTGTGCACCGTCGTTGTTGTGTGACTCGAAATACTTTCTCTTCATACAAAACTGGTTAATTGGAATTTATCTTACTGTACTTTCTTCACTCATAACGTTTTATGTTCTTGTTTTATCTTTTTTTACTTTGCACTTCATATTTTTGCAGCGAGTTGAACACACGAAAGTTTTATTGCGCGCAGATCGATACGCGCGAGTATAAAATTGCAATTAATGACTCTCAAATTTTTGTCCCGTCGGTGAAGGATGCAGTAAAAAGAACGGTAGAACCTAATTGGACGCACTCGAATAAAATTTAAATTTAAAGTTTACCGCGCGCCGTTAAATCTGCGTCACGCGCATTTATTTCTGCCTACCGAAAGAAGACATTGCGATTTAACCTGCATCTGCGCGCACCGCGAAGGTCGATTAACGATAAATCCGAAATTGGCCATAAATGCCCGGGATAGCCGATAGTCTATAAAACATCCGCAATATCCGTTCGCGGAGAAGGACGTTTCGCAAAAGGGCGGAACGCTCATCGTGCAACAGGCTTATTGTGTAAATCAATTCGAAATGGCGGAAATGGCGATGTGTATATAAATCGCTTTGCGAAACGTTTCGGTAATTTATATGCTCGTATTGTAAATACGGTGCCGCGAAACGCGGGAAGAAGGAAGGGGGAGAGGAGTACACATTTATATTCGGTCATAAATTTTCGGGCGATTCACGCCGCGCCACAAATCGACGACGGATTACCGATTTAATCTGAACTCGTGACGCCGACGTGATCCCCGAATTGTCACCGGACTTTCCCGCTGGTAATCCTCTCCATCGATCTTGTGATGGATGACTGAAGAGAAATTAAATTGAATCTTACATTCATTAAATCTCACTTCAAAATTGAATAATACATTTACTGATTTATAAATGGCTCCAAATCGTATAAACAATCTAAATCGTGCCATATATGGATTAAGGGAAAGGAATGGCGACAAAGTATAGCTTCAGGCGCGCATTACAGTTGCACATTTAACGAAAATCGCCGTCGGACGCGGTATGTAGAGGCATAACTCGATCAGCGTTATAAGGTGACTTAAATTGCCTTTATGAAACTGGATCTTAGGCTCTCGTTAGGCCGCGCTATAAACGTCGATGTCCGTTTCGCGGTGCGCGGAGAGCCGCCGCGCTCGCGCTCGTGCTAACAAAGTGGGTCAAACTGACATTGCGATTTCGCAAAAGGATTATTAGTTGGCCGCCGGTGATTTTAATAACGCGGCTCGAACGTATAGGTTTATGAAACCAGTTGCCGCGGCCGGTTTTTCTTCGCGCTATGCGAAAGCATACGAGCGCGCGCGCGCCTTCAAAGTGGAACGAGTTTCCACGCGGGCGCGTGCGTGCGAGGCAACGGTAACGTTTGTCACGTTTTGCGCGCGGATTGGAGTCGAGGAGCCGTTAACAAGCCGGACGAAACGAGGCGCGGAAACATTACGCGTCGCGCACGATCGGCAACACGTGCCGCGTCACCCACCTCTCGCGTCCTTCCACGAGAGAAAGCGAAATCTCGTGTTGACGAAACATCGCGCGCTTCACGACAGGAATGCGACAAGAATGTCTCCTACAGACAATGCTAAACGTTTAATTCTATAAGTCTTTTGTAAATGGAAGTAACGTTATGCCTATGAAAGAGATGAAAGAAAGTGTATAGAAATTTTTTTTTATTAATTTTGATGTTATTCGCAAATTTTTACAATCACGCTTTTTCTGTGATTATGTCTCACGTTTAGTTTTTCTCTATGTTGCAGGCTGGTTCTCAGTAGTCTCCAGCAACAGTGGCACCGGAAATGCCAGAGTGTACAGAAGAGTCGGCGCCCTGGTGCGCGCCGGAGTGCCGGCGTTTCTGCTCGCGAAACCGTTGCGGGCTTACACGTTGACGCACTCCAAAATGGGTAAGTTATTTTATCAACGATCTGTATAAAACTATTGCAGTACGTGTCAAGGTTCCACGTCGGTGACGTAAATTCTTGATCAAATCTCGAGGATGTGAAATACTTTTTGATTTAGCCATATCTTAGAATATATATTTTGATCATTTGTATAATCCTTTCCTCGAGTACGCGAGTTCTGGCGAGTTAACCGGGATTACCTACGATATCTCGCGTCACATCTGGCACCCATTGAGTTTATTATCCCGACCAACCCAAGTCCGCATTTTCCACGGGCCAACTGTCGCGGTCGTGGCTATCTGCCCGCTGCAATCTGCCGGTGGAAATGCGGCCCGCTACGAGCCGCATTACCGTGGTTCGCGTAACCGGCTCGTTAATAACTCTTTCCCGAGATGCGAGAAATCTCCTTTGTAATCCCTTGGGAAAGTAGGATTCGGAGAAAATGGCAACTGTGCACGAATAGGCGAACGGTAAAGTCCAGCTTGTCTTTTTCATTTGCTTAACGGGTGACGTAACCGTTGTTGATCTTTCTTGGTTGGTTTTTGTCTTTCTTTTGATATCATATTGTTTAGACGTGAGGGTCCGATCAACGTTCCACAATCTCGTGTGATACGCGTGTATGTACGTGCAGGCGTATGCGCGACGCAGATCTTGCGAATTATTTTCTCGATCAGTGGCGGCGGCTGGCCGTGACACGAATGTCAATGTGTCCGTAATGTGTGGCTTTCGTGGCATACGTTCATGCGTTTAAACGCGCATACGGCGAGGCGAGGCTTACGCGCGACGAGTGCGCGTAACGTAATAGGCACGCGGCCGCGGTGAAAGCCGTCCTCCACGGACGCGCGTGCATAAGCGGCTGCGAACACATATAATATATATATATATATATATGTATATATATATATATATATGTATGTATAGTGTATACACGGATACAGCTTGCGGCGCGAGCATTATGCCATTACACACGCCGCCGTAACGATTATGGTCACGGTGGAAAAGGAGGATTCTCTCGCGCGAGCGGCATCCCTCTTGGCTCCTCCTTTCGGCGAGATCCGGATAGGTCCCGTAAGTTTCGCGTCGGCGTCCGTTATCCGGCGCGTTTATTGTCGTTAATTACTCCGCCACCCCACCTTTCGATCATACCTACGCATCAGCGCCAACGGTACACGATCGATGCATGCGATTCATATGGAAATTCGCTGTTATGTTCCTCGAGTGTCAAGATGATATCAAACGGTCTTAGCCACACGTGTGTTATTATGTGTAAGATATTTACGTACCTATCAGTGGTAGGAGCGGTAAGATGTCTACGAACACACGTTGGAATGTGAACATTGTGTACAACAGAGTACATTCGTGCTTCGTGTGCAGGCGTGTCTAAATTAGATTAGAAGAAGAGCGACGCGATCTTCTTACAAAGTGCTATATCATGGCAGAAAGTAGTCACACAGGATAATGAGTCTCCAAGCAAATTGTATATAGAAGTCTAGTTGAGCTAAAATCTCATCGGTCTCGGTATTAACATATCTGGCGTAAAGTTAACATATTGGATCGCGCGGAACATCGCGTCTACTATACAAATTAATTTCACGCTATTCGCGACATTAGCGAACTTCCGGTCTCTAACGATGTTTCACGGTCGTGATTGTAATATTGTAATTGATAAAGTGTTTATTCCCTCTGGAACGCGCGCGAGTGCTCTCTTCTAAAACTCTACGCCTCTTATCTTTAACTTTTTTCTGTATATTATATAATTTTATGATTAACGTACGTGATATTAAACATTTCAATTAATTGTCTCTCTAAATCGTTTTCGTAAACATCAAACACAGATTTAACTGATTCTGTCATTTTCTAGGCAAAGACAGTGAGTCAATTAAATCTCAACTGAATTTTTCTAATGTTTACGGAAATAACATTATGTATTCAAATCAATTTCTGTCGTAGAGAATGGAAATTTACGGGCCCACTACACGAAAACGACGGTGCGCGCCGGTGAGGTCCTGCGGCTGACCGCCGTTTTCCAGGACACGCGTCGGGCCCCGGTCACCAGCAGCACGACGGGAATGGTCCCGGAAGGCAAATGCTCGAGATCCTCGGAGCGGGATCAGTACGCCCAGTGCTTGGACTCCCACGGGCACGAGTTATTCGCGCCGCTCTCAACCAGAGGCGAGTTCTACGCGACTTGTCAGAGCGGCAGCCTCGACACCGGCAGCGACGCGGTGCTCTACAGAGTTCATCAGCTCGCCAGGAGGGATCTACCTCTGAGGGTAAATCTCATCGCGACACAATTAAGATTAATCAAACCGAGATACGATCCGCGTGATGTAATCCCCCAGGTGCGTCTAGTCGCTGGACCCCTGCCCATACCGTTGCCGCGAGATTACAGCGGCCTGATGCAGTTGGAGAACGCGACCAGAGGGCCGATAGTCCTCGGCTGCGCGGTACCGCTGATGCCCGAAAGACCCTTACCCAACACCACGGTGCCGGAGCTCTTGGAGCTCGTCGCGACCGGTCCAACTGCGCCCCGGGTGAAAAGGGCACGACTGGGGTGCCCTTCTGAGGCGAGATTACTCGCCTCGCCGAAAATGCAACGATTACTCTCGGCTTGCAGGTAAGAATCTTAACTGCGTGGAAAAAATATTGCTTATACGTTAAGCGATATATTAATTATTTAAATTATGCGGAAACAAACATTTCAGAATTAAAATTTTAATAAACGATTCTTACAATTTTTAATGAGAAATAGATTAACAAAAACAATATTACATAAAATAATAAAGTGTTTATATTTCATAAAGAATCAATCCAGTTAATTTCCTAGTTAAATTTCTAACATTATTAATCTCGGTGTAATAAAAATTTGATGCTTTCGATTTTCAACGCGATTGAAAAATTTTCCTTTATTAATCGTTCTTTAAATAATTTACCTTACGTATACGATAAACAAAATAAAACGGGAACGATCATGCGCTTTGGTATCGCTTTATAGAAGAGCCTTAGATCAGAGGGCAACTGAACCCCGAGTCGCTCCGCCGAAACCGGCGCCGAATAGTAATCAGCTGAAGGAACTGCATCTGAAGGAAATTAAAGCGAAGCCCGAAGCGAAGCCGATACTACAGAGCTTGAAAGAGGGCCTGGAGCACATCAAGAAGACGACGATCCGCGATCGGAGCAACAGCCGCGGCGCCGGCAACAACCACAGCTTCCTCGACAGAATCTCGAGGATAGCGCAGGGCAGCAAGAGCAGAAACCCGGCGAAGAAATCGGCGTCCTTCACGTTCGCCGTACGACCGGAGATCGGCATGCGGTCACCGGAGAGATACGCCAGTCTGGAATCGGAAACGAATCTGATGCAGGCGTCGCAGGCGTCGTCTAGGCAGCAGGTGCAGCGTTCGATCTCGACGAGCGTTCTCGAGATGCAGACCAGCGGACCGGATATGGATCCACCGTACTCCAAGGTGAGAGACAGCCTGACGCCGTTGCCTCCCACCCCGCCGCTGGCCTGCAAACTGGAAGAGATCTATGCCGAGATCTGCGAGCCGGGCGGCGGCAACGGCGGTCCACTGCGAGATTCGCCGCAGGATGAAAAACCGCCGCCGGTGGGAGGGAACGGGACCAGGGAACGAGATCGGGGCTACGTGAAGCTCGCGCTGTCCATATCCGAGACGTCCGACGTGTCGGCGAGCACCGGCGACGACGAGGAGGGCATTTACAATACTGTGTGCTGAGCGCGCGCGCCTTCTTCCGTCGGGGGTAGACCCAACATCCGCGGGGAATCGTTTGTGACTCGTGGGTAACTGACTCCCAGGGTCGACCGGAACAAATGATGTGACGTGTACGGAGTCGAAAGGTCGCGGGAACTCTTCAGCGCGGCTGCGGATATCGATGAACGTTTACAGACGCGAGTGGTATTGGCGAACGTTCGTCGCGAGAGGATCGTTTGGAGGATCTTTAAAGGTTAAAACGGTCGAGCCAGTATTGTCATAAATTTTTTTAGCGAGAGATGTAAGAGATGTATAAGCACCAAGTGTTTTTAGTCCGAGCCGTAAATCCCGAGCCTCGTCAACTCATTCCCGAACGTGATACGTCGTTTTCGTCTTCTTTCTTTTTGTAATTAAAACAATTTTTTTTAACCAACTAAAATATACTCTTTCTTTTTAAATAAGTAAAAGAGATGGGACATATTCGATGTACGTTTGAATTTATAACACGTGATTTATATTCATTAAAGTGAATTTACTTGTCCGTTTTCATTCGCGTACATTACTCGTACTTGACCTAGGTCCGGCTTAACAATTGAAAAACAGGACGGACGAATGAAATGCTCTAACTGATAATGGATGACGAGGGCTCGTAGATGGGATCGTACGAAGGTAACGTGAAGCGGGTCGTTGAACGTCCGATCTAAACTTTCCGAACACGTCCGAGGCCGGGGCGTATCGCGAAGCGCGCAACCGACGCGGCACGGAGAAATCGACGGTAGAATGTAAACGAGCCGGTCGGCGGCTTCTAGGAAGAGAAAATTACCGACGTCCTTCGAAGGTCTAGGTCATCGCTGGCATCGTACGAAGCTCGAACGAGAGGCGGTAGCCGAGACTTGGCCGTCGAGCCGTGCCGAGTCGAGCCTAATATACGCTCGCCCGCTCGGCCGGCCAGAGCGATACTTTGTGACGATTAATCCATTAGCTCGTCATGCTTCGCGGCATTTGGCTTCCTTTTCGTGTACGATGACCCCGAAGTTTCGCGCGCTCTCGCGCCCGATTGCGTGACGTTGCGCGATTGGCTGTTAAACGCGTGATTACAAACCTCGCGGTATATAGCAGGTACTGCGTTCGAAACGCTTCGAGGAAACGAGAAGATCTCCTACGCCCTTCTCTTTCGTTCCCTCGCGTCTCTCTCTCTCTCTCTCTCTCTCTCTTTCTTTCTCTCTCTCTTTCTCTCTTTCGTTCCTCGCATGACGGAGCGCTCGGAGCTGCCTGTCGGCCGCTGCATCGCCCGAGCTTAGGAATGATGAAGAAAGGGCGCAAAAATCGAGGGAACGAAGATGCGCCTAATGGAAATACCCGCGGGAGAATACGCGAGGGCACCGCGATTCGTTCGCTGAGGGCTCTCGAAGGATCCTAACGGCTGTAATCTTGTCTAATTCGACGTCTACGGCGTGCGCTCGAATCGCGCGCCAGCGATAAAGATGTAATATTTTGTAAGGTTTTGTGTATATTCGAATGAAGTCGTTACGAAAGGCGAAAATAAAAACAGAGAATTTCTACAAAAAAATTACGTCATAAAAATATATCTCCTTTTACGTTGGCAACTATCGGAGTAAAATCATTTAGAACCTACAGGTATAACAGGTAAGTGACTTTTGAAATACAGCAATTAATGAAATTCTTAAAAGAACAATGTAATAGTACCTACTTTATAAAAATTCGATTATAATATAAATTTGATACAGTCTACGTGAAGAAAATTTCATGAACGTATTAGGATATATTATTCATTAAAGAGCTAAATCGCACATCATCTTCATTTCATGAAATAAAAAGTATAAAATATTAATTTTAATTAATTGAAGGCTTAATGAAACAATGGGCTAATCCACATTTTGTAGAAACGAAAAAATATTAATTCTAAAATTAAAGTTAAAGTGAAAAAATACGTCCATTTCTCTATCAACATATCGCAGGTATTTGGAATGTTGTGGGGTAACCAAATTGTTGCAGCAAGCCCTTCAATTTAATGTGACATTTTTATTGTAAGAAAGGATAAGAGCACTTTTTTGTCACGTCGCTTCATAGTTCATTTAACGGGTAATATATATGGAGATACCAGCTTTCTCGCCAGCCGGTGCGCGATTACTTACCTCGGAGCCGGAGCTCACCCACGTTCGCGAGCGTGGAAAATTCGCCTAAACACACCGCGCGGCCGCCGCTGACTTTAAGGAATAATAACGCAAAACGATCGTCGGACGCTCGCGCTGGCTATTGGTCATTAATGTTTTACGAGCACGCAGTACGCACAGCTGCGTCTATTCAATTATAGCGAAGAGAGTGGGGTCCAGACATACAGCGGCCTCCTCCTCTTCCCCCCGCATGCCTCTCCCCCGCCTTCGCCGCATCTCATCTCCCGCGTGATCCACCTCCGCGTCCGTCGCCTTGTCCCCTCTTTATTTCTCTCTCGAGCACGGCAACGCGCATTTACGTCCATTAATATTAACGGCTCGAAACAACGATAATAACGGGGAGTCACGGGGGATGCAGAGAGGTGTTCTCTTGGACTGGTCACGTCGTGCGCGGCGCGCCGACCACCCCCCTTTCTCCTCGCATAGCTCACGTGACCGCACACATTTAGTTGCATGCATCATTCTCGCCGCGAAGATCGACAGTGCCGGGAAAACGCGACGAAGGTTTTTTAACGTCCAGGTAAGGTTCACCGGCCGATCTCAACCGGCCGAGATTATACCGAGATGATTATGCTGTTTAACGACGAGAAACATTATGAGATCTGAAAGCTCTCGCTTTGTTAAGGTAAGTACTTTTGTTCTCACAAATATATACTATATGCGAGCAATAACATTGACGCATCGCACGAATTTAGAATAAGATTAGAATTACATATTACGTTAAACTCGATGGGGGCTCGGCATTTTCTTGTTAAAGTAATAATTAGTGAAGTAACGTGAAGAGAGAAAAACGCGCGTGGCAATATCCTGTTACTGCTCATCGTAGAAAATTGGTATCGTGCAAAAACACCGCGGCGGCGGCGCGGCTGTTACATTGTGCCACGCCGAGATGTGGGTTAATGCGTTCTAAGGGTGGATTAAAAAGCGCGATAGAGCACAAGAGTGACCGTCTCGTGTCTCGCGGACGCTATTATTACCGTAATTATTAGTATCGCGCCGATATGCGCTGAGCAAATACCGCGCTTATATATATGCACGGTGCAGATCGATCGAGACAACGGACAGGGCACTATCGAGATCCGGCGATCTTGGGGTCCACGGGTGCATATTTCAAGATCGGCATGCGTGAACGGTTTCAGGGACGTCGGGTTGCTTTTGCGGTCGTGTATAACTCGGCTTTACAACGCTAATGCGACAGACATGGAGCGCGAGGTATCGTATTTCGCGGACCCGGGTCGGATCCGATCGAGGAGGCATGTTTTAATATGCAAATTAAAATGCAAATAATGCGACTCCTCGTCGTCCCTTACCCTCCCATCCCTCTACTCACGCCCGCCCCTCCCGCCCGTTCCTCTCTTCACCGATCCTCTCTCTAGTCGCATCTCGCGCGCGATAGTCATCCTGCGGCCTGAGGACAAGGGCGCGACCACGAGACCCCCCCCCCTTTTTTCGCCCGAAGGATTTTATTCCTTTTTTTTTCATTTCGTTCCTTGCTTCATCCCAGCATCCAGTCGCCCGTAACGTGAGTCTGGGACGCAGAATACAATCTATCCGATATGACGTGATCGATTTCCGAATTATTTTAGTTGCGTTTATCGAAATCTTTCCACAGAGATACACGGACATCTAGTACAATGCGAAAGCTTTGATAAAAGAGTTGTGAACTTTTGTAGGATAGATGTTTTTTTTTAACAAAAATAAATAAAATTATTTTACAATAGTAAGTAGAAATGGACCGATAAGTAAATAATATGAATAAGCAAAGAGTACTTTTTTTCAATAAAAACTTGATGCCTAAATAATGTTTTTGTATGAATTTTTTATACAATTTCTAAGTTCATGCAAACTTTGCGCTAATTATTTGTCAGTTTTAAAACAGTCCTAAACTGAAGCTGGAATACGTGATATCATAAATTAAATTAACTAGCAGTTTAACAATATTGATGTTAATGGGCATCTTTATCCACTATAAAGAATTTATTATGAATATTATTATCGTAAAAATATATTTTACACACAAACTAAGTGTCGCGCCTCGATATTGCGAGGCTTTAACCTTCGCGATACGCATTTAGATATTCAGCGTAGAAAACCATCGCGCGCGAAGGATTAAATCTAAGCGTTATCTGCGGACGCATCTTCCCTGAACGCGATACAAAAGGATTATATGTAGAGTGGGGCCGGATGCGTCGGGACGGATCCTTGAGCTATCGCATGCGTAATGTCTTCATTCAGCCTGGCTCCTATCATAATCTCCCGATGATGAACGAGCGCCCTTTATGCGAGGACGTAGAACGGAGAGCGAGATTAAACGAAGAGTCATCAATAGGCCGGTTGCATTAAACGGCCTGCCGTGTGCGCGCGCGCGCGTTCGCGCGCGGAAAAATTGGAACAAGTCAATTAGTCGCGCTCTACCTGTTCGATCTGTCACAATATACAAAACTCCGTCTCTCTCTTTTTTTTCCCCTCTCCCCTTCCTCCCTCTTCGCCCTCCGGCCCTCTGCCTGACGCCCTTCCTCTCCCTTTTCCCTTCGCCTATTCCGGATCACGTGCCGCGGGCGAGATATCTCCGAGGTCTCTAGCCATGCTTTACGGCGCGGTTAACAAATAGCATGTCGCTGAATGCATCGCCGTGCCGCGCCCGATGCTATCGCCGTCGACGTCGACAAAAATTAAGCGCTGCGATTATTCATGAATGTCCCGCGATCGGCCGCGACGCCGAGACTCGGTCGGCACGGCGCGGTGGCTGCTATTTCGGTAGCCGAGTTTCGCGAGTAAGCGGCTGCGCGCGCCCGAGTCCCTTATAAGCGCAACTGTCGCCGGTGATACCGGCGATATGTATCTGCCATGTAAGATCGATGCGCGTCGAATAAAGCCTGTGATCAAAATTACAGGTAGACACACACATACACACAGGGAGGTAATCTCCGATCTTAATCTTCCACAATTAAAAGTTATTATCCCCTTACTTCGCATATAATAATTTGCCGGAGACAGAGTGAAACTTGGAATTTTTGCAAGCGCACGCAGGCTTTTTCTCCCCCTTCCTCCACGTTATAGACTGCTGCATTGGTGGATGTCGCGACGGTTATTATCCTGAATTTTAATATCTCCGACGACGCGCGTCCGCGGCCTTCACGCAATTAAAGCGACCGCGAAACGATCTACTAACCCGAATGATCGTCGCGACACGCGTGCGTGCACGCGCGTACGTGCCGCTAAGTGCACGCGTGATATAATCGGCCGCGACACGGAGGGGAAAACAAATCGGCTTGTGGTCGGCTGACAAACGCCAGAATGCAGCGGACCGGAGCAGCAGAGTTGCGCCTTGTGTGTCCGATGCGCCTCGCTCGTTGCAGCAGCCGCGCCGCAGTGCAGCGTTGGGATCCCCGTTAGATGACGGGTGAGGATATACCCTATCGTGTCGCGCCCGGCTCTGTCCAATGCATACTAAGTAGTTCTGGAAAATCAGTTGTCGGTAGCTCGTATAGCGCAGAGTCCCGAGCGAAGGAATTGAATGAATCAGCCTATCCTGTGGCTGGCCTTGCCAGCCTGTTTGCCAGTACGGGCGCACATGTGCGTACATATATGCATGTAGTATCGCTCGCTGTCACCAACACGCTCTCGTTGTGCTATACAGCATGTTACAACTTACGCAAGTCCGCGGTTGCATAAAAGTTCTCTCTAGTCCTTTGTGTTCCGTAAGGCAGCTTGCATTAAAACGGCACACAAAGAAATACGTTTTTTTTCCATTGTCTTATCCGATAAATTCCGACGGACGTGTTTTTAGAATTCCTTCTGCCGAAAATTTATTAGCCTCCGTAATCTCTTGATCAAATAATCGTAAAAATCGTTCGGAGTGTTCAGTATCGACCCGTTCTCGCACATGTACACGTAGTCGCATTATAATTTACACGATTGCATACAGTTGCATTACTGCGAGAGCCCGTAATGGGAGGGGCTCCGGGGGGGATAGAGTGCAGGGAGAGGAGAGGAAAGTTGGAGGAAGGGGCGGAGGGGAACGAAGGTGAAGGAGGAGGAGGAGGAGGAGGAGGAGAGAAGGGTACGTTGGCGTCGCCTGGAATGCCCGCGGACCACGAACGGTGCCGATACGACGGGTTTACCTTTTACAGCCTACCTACCGGTCGTTTCACTCCGACTGCGCACCTTCAACGTCCACGCGTTATATATCTCCCCATCCCCCTTCGCCCCCTCTCCCTCCCCATCGGCATCGCCGCTTTCACTGCCTTAAAAATGCAGTCTCCTCTTCGCAACACACGCAACTCCTCGATACCATATGTACTTCGATTAATTTAATTATTGGCCGCCACCTGCTGTCAATATATAAGGAGGAGACTTAATTAAGGAGGATTTA